GGAGAATGCGTAGCACATCAGGGTGCATCCACACATTATTAAAGGTCAAAGGGCTTTAAAGCAGTGCAATCATTTTGAAATTTTTATCATTTACTTATTATGATTCATTAAGGACTTATACAAAATTTTATTAAAATAAAACCATTTAAACTGGGTGTTCGGATTTATATGTCACTTAGTATATATACAGTCGCGGTAACTCTTACTCATATTCGCGATGCCAATAGGAAACCTAACTTGTTATCTGAACATAGACATTTATTTACCTTATGATTGGCCAGAAGTATTATACACCATGTTTTCGAGAGATTTTTGGATGAGCTCTTTGAGTGTAGTTCTCGAGGCGCCATTTAGCAAAATTCAAAGGGCCTCTTGACTCAGCATTTATATTTCAGCAGATATATTTTCTGGTCGAGAAGCTGTGATACTCTTAGTTATGGGTGAAGCTTCACCCAGGCAGCAGTTTCCAAAAATTTCAAATTAATATTTTGGTTAGGTCTACAACATTCCTTCAACTATCTATATTATGCTGCAACCACTTTCAAATAGCATTTAGCACGTCGCTTTATCTTAATAGAGATACTAATGAAGCCAGGTGTCGTTGACATATCTAAATTTCATTAGGAATTAATTGATTCGCACTTAGAGCTTAATAAGTTCAAGATGTATATAAGACGTGAATTTATAGCGACATATCCGTTCAAGATGTGGTACGTGCCTACGTTAATGGGCTCTCGTATCCGTCTTGGACTGACTATCCAACTGAAGGTCCGAGTGGTGTTCTGCGATCTCTTTCATTACCATTCCTGGAACTGAAATCCTGAATAGCGGAAAAGCACAAATGCCGTAAAGAATTTTGAATAACTACCACATTGACAATCCAGCGAATCCATTTGGCAGAACCAAATAGTGGTAAGAGTCATCAGCAGTACTTAAGGTAGGATCTTATCCCAGCCAGCAAAGTGACGTTACAAGTTTTTTATAAAAGAAGCCGTAAAACCTCCTCTTTGATGTTTTGCCAGAACTCCGAAATGCTGTTATTGCTTCCCGCGGCATATTTAATTCAAAATGTGGAGATTAGAACATTATTGTATCATACTGATCGAACACGTTATGAGATAAATAGATAGATGGTTGGGTAAACCTTTATACAACTATTTTATACGGCATATTAGCTCGGTAGTCAAAATGGTTGTGTTATGGCAACCATGGTAACATGTATACAACAAACCCGCAGGGTTATTACGTAAAAACCTATATAATGTCAAAAAAGATCTAAAAAATGTCAAGTTGTTGACTAAGTAGGCTAGTGTGCAAATAGCGCTTCCTACAAGTGAGCATGAAGTAAATGACAGTTAGTTCCAAGTCAGGCTACCTACCTACCTCATGTCAAAAAAACGACATAATGTCACTTTTCAAGTTACGTAATACCACTGTCGAGACTTTTTGTTTTTGTGAGCAAAATTGCTAATTTATCCAGAAGTTGCTCCAAACGGAAGCATTCATACAACTGTCGTTTAGTAACTGTCAAAGGCTATACATCTGCAACAATATCACAACTTTTATAGTGCGCAATTGCTGTGCTTCGCATATATGCTTAATTATACAACCTCACTGCAACCTAAGTTTCTGCTGTCATCTTTTTAGGTTAAATGCCATAATCTACATTTTTCTTCTTGAAGACAAGCAACGCATAAATATTCGTTTTATCAAATTTTCAGTAAGTGTAGATCTGGTATAAATTCTGAGTAAAGCATTCAACTCTGCCCTTATTTCATTTCAGAGATTTGCCAAATTCTGTTTAGCACCAGCGGATAACACCAAAATGTTCTAATATACTCGTACCAAAGACAGTATGGAGAATGCCATAATTATAATATAATCCTCCACCCGCCACATTGGGTAAACAATTTAGCCCTCTGCTGAAAGTCAAATAATTGTTTCAATCCCATATTACAGATAGAAAAGGATAATAATTAGTATAATTGTGCAATTAATATAAGATTTGTGGAAGATTTAACGCAGATAAGCTCAGATTTCTATCTTAAAAGTCTAGACATAGTTTTCATCATTATTAAAATTTGAATCAATTACGAAGCCCATAGAAATCCCGTCACTATTTTGTACGGTAATCACAATAAAATTTGCTGCGCAAGTAGTTCAATAGCCCAATATCACAGTGTAGAAGCTTATCATAAACCCGTGTACGAAATTCACAAAAGCCGATATGACAGTAAATAAGATGAATGTGTTTGTAAGTATTCTTCGCCTCGTCTATACAAGGTATAAAAAATATTTCAGTTGCAATAAAGTGGTATCATGTAACAGACTGGTAGTATAGCTGACAAAAATTGAATCCTTCACTGACCCAAAGGTTCAAGGCCCTCTAGCGAATACACGAGTGTTTACGCTTTTGCTGTATAACTGTTACCTGCAACCCCACAGAAGTGTCCTATTAGTTGAGCCCAGTCTGCTTGTATAGCTGTTCTATGTTCTTTCAACCTAAGCTGTTATGTAAAGAATATTGTATAAACCGTTCTCGCAATCCTAACGATAATTATTGTTAGTTGGATCCTAGCCTTAAACATACATATATACTCCGACTCCTTCACAACAGCTGCACCACAAAACAAAATATTGTAATGCCTGTTCTTGCATAGTTTTTTAACAGATCATTCGTGCAATTTCTACAGAAACTCAATATTCTTATAGCTTCCCTATTTAACTACCTCGGTCAAATCGAACGTTTATTTGTAAACTAGTATATTGAGTCTCAGGTGCATTTTACTACTCATTATTCCTTCATTTCAGTGGATTGATAGCGTTTTTAGTTTTCTCTTCAATTGATTCCGATCGGTGTCTATCACGTCTGGATGTGTACATGTAAAACTCCACCATTCGAGAAACTATGCATCAAGTTTATTATGGTGTATTTAGCATCATCATTATCATCATTATAACACTCATATAAAACAAAGGACAAAGCATTTCTCCATACAATCCTTCCCGGTTCGCTATGGCAAACCCTATGGACAAAAATTTAATCAACAGCTGATACATGTATGGATCAAATATTTTTTTTCGTAATATGATCATTTTAGAGTATCAGCATACTTAAACGTAAGAAGAAATAGCAAATCTGTTCTTCTGTCAGTTGGAGGTTGACTTGATCAGTGAATGTTTGTTGAATTTCAAAAGCAAGATATCACTCGAGCTCGGTCGCTGATGAAAGGGTCAAGATAAAGGCGTTGAGAATCTAAGATATAACAAGCAAAAGTCTCCAGTATATCATTATTTACTACGTTTCTAGTTTCAATACTTCAGATTACTTTTTTACAACTACCATAAGCAATCTGCCCAGACCATAATATTGCTGTCGGTCAGTCCATCAACCGCGTTTCTATGAGCACAGTGTCCAGGAACAATAGACAGTGGATGCCGGGCAGATCAATGACCTTGAGAAGCGCATTTGCACGACACTCTGACGCCGTACTGCCCCAGCACTGCAGTATCACAGCACAGACTGTACTGAAAGTTATGTAAAGGATGCCACAGAGCGAGGCTTGGCCGGACAGGGTGCTGACCGAATGCGGATGTTTAGTTGTTGGCACTTTCCCTGTCGTCGCAGATATGCTAGCTTTGCCGAAGAGCTCAACAGTATCAAAACCTAGGATTTAGTAAAAATACAATAACTGGTTTCACAACGGATCAGTGTATTTGCGGATGAATGAAAAAGCCTTTAATCCAGGGATACAACAAATTTTGCTGGGTTTCTCATTAAACGTCAATGTTGGAAAAGTCACTCTTTCATATACCGGATGTCCAGAAGTCGATATAAAGCTGAAAACGGTAGGAGTATTACGTATCTCAAAAAGTGACATTATGTCAGTTTTTTGACATTATATAGGTTTTTTGTGACATCATGTAGGTTTTTCTACAAGGTGTGAACTTAGCATTAGATAGTGTACAACTGTTATGTACTTGTTCGGTAGCTGTACGTGCTTCCTAAACGTCATGATGCTTTAGCTATCAATGTTTGGCTTTTATGTGGTGTAACATCTGTTTCAGAGATGGCATTATTGGAGATCTAAGCTGTAAGTTGTATACTATAGCTGGAAGGTAAAGGCAGTGCATAGATGCATAGTGACGATTTGTGTGCTAAGAGTCTGTGTTGATGATAATTCCAATCGTTTCTTGACTCAATACTAACTGAGATGTATGCAAAGCTAAAAATTAGTTGCGCATCCGTGTTTTCCTATGTATCCTAGATATTGTACGAGTATATGCAGATTTCAAAGAAGAGAGCCACAAGAAAGAAATCCCTGGTTGCTGAGGTATGTAAAAACCAACAGGTAAGAAAATATGGTTCATACAGGAGTATTTATGAAACGCAAAAAAGTTATTACATTCTCCATATTAATTCTTATTTTCAGTCTTTCAAATTTTATAGATATTTATTTTTCGATGTCAAGTAGCAATACAAATCAGCGCCCAGTGCGAAAATGTATGTTATGCGTCATTCTTAATTTTTCTGTGATGTAGCTTAATTACACACAACGCGGGTGCGATGATGATATCCCGTAAAACTCATGAGTGTTTATGAAAACGCAAAAAAAACTGGGAAAATCGTAGTGTAGGAACTATCTAGGCAGCAAATTGATATTTTGTCCGATTTTATTTTGACGTTTTATAGGTTCTTTACGTAATAACCTTGCGGTTATATCTAAGCATCTTACATCTAAAAATTGCAATCTATGGCTAAGGTGTTTTGTAGAAAGGCTCCGTCGTACCAAAATAACGCTTTCTATAGATAGATGAGTAAATTATGTCCTTCAAATACGGTTCTCAAAAACTGAAGCAATATTTAGTTGGTGGTCTAATAGAATAAACATGTGATAAGCTGTCATTTTCGTTTCAGAGATGCAAACCTGAAATGGAATCTGTGATAAGTTAGTAAGGGTTTTTTCATATGTACAACTATATTCAGTATCAGCTGTTACCTTTTCCATGCTTGCTCTCAAAGCGCACCTTACTCTTGGACCTCTTCTTCTGCTTGTTAGCCTTCTTCTCTCGCCTAGCCACACACTCATCCACAATATCCACAATTTCAGTCAACTCTTTGCGCAACGCAATGTCCCGCGCAGTCTCACCCTGTTTGTTGCGCACGCACTTATCACACCCGGCCTCGAGCAATATCCTAGTAAGCTTGCGCCGGCCCATCGCAGCGGCGATGTGCAGGGCCGTATCGCCGTTTTTATTCTGTTCGGACACTCGGCACTGACCGGATATCAGGATGCGCGTCACGCCCGCGTGACCATATCTGCAACAAAGAGACAATAGATTAATTAAAATTTACGCATTTGGAAAAAAATGTTCGCCGACAACACAAAGTATATACAGTGTGTCCCAGATTCGCTTCTCTATACAGGGATCTCGGCTCCCGTTATACCTACAGCAAAAGTTGAATGAGGAAGGTTTTAGAGGATACTTAGTGCTTTCGATAGCCGGCTTCAGATTTACGATCGGTCGATTGGTTTCGAAAATATCAGCGAAAAACCGAAAATGTTGGAATTTCTTTTTGTCAGTAAATCCAAAACAGTTAATTTGACAGCTGTCAAAATGTGACGCTATTCGGACATTTTTTAAGAAGATAAGATAGCATGTGTGACATGTCTCAATCGTCTTTTGTTTTCCAGCAACCGGCCTCAACTTTCATTTTTCTTATGGCCGCCATATTGGACTTTTTGATTTTTAAAAAGACTGTAAAATTTCCTGTCTAGTGATGTCTCACAAGTGCATGAAAGGTTGAAGTATTACCGAAATATCATCACACGTAATGTTAAGTATTAGTTCTCTAAGAAGGTCATGATTTATTTGACAGAAAATAACAAGGCATAAAAAATACATAAATGCCATGAATTTTTAATAGAATATTAATATTAACTTCTCAACAGGTCAAATGTTGTGGGACAAATTCCCAACTAAGTGTTAAAAAAAACGTGAGAAAAATCGTCGTAAATTTATTTTGCACTTGAACAAACAGATTTGCAAAATAACGTCCATTTGGATCCAGAAATGTTTGGCAGTTGGTGACTATTTTTCGTACAACCTTAGCTAAAGTACACCTATTTCTGTTAACGCTTCTAGCTGTGCTCGAAATTTTTTGTCTCAGGATTTCTATGGTCGCGGGAGGATCAAATTCATAGACCTCATTCTTTGTGTGACCCCAGAGGTGTAAATCCAAGGGTGAAAGGTCAGTGGATCTAGGAGACCAAGATATTGAACCATTTAATGAAATTATTCTTTCATCATACAGCTCTCTTAGAAGTTCCTGACTTGAATGGTGTTGTGAGCCGGACATCCATCCTGTTGAAACTAGGTTCTTCTAAGCTCATCTTCATTTAGACTAGCTCGTAAAGCCGGCACAACCCGTTTCGCAAGAGCTCTAGGTACCTCTGTCCGTTTAGGTTGTCGTCAAACAAAAATGGTCCTATAAGTCGATTTCCTAAAATGATTAATACCTACCTAATTTCAAACGTTAGTTCCAAACCTGGTCTGAAGACATCTCTCTGCCACTCCCTGAGGCTTTTCCACAGCCCAATGATGAGTGTTGTGCTTATTAAGAACTCCACAATTCGTAAACCTACTCTGATCGGACCACAAGACATAATTTACAAAATCAGGATTTTCATTAGACTTCCGAGTATACCACTCACAGAAGCGCATTCTCCTTAGAAAATCAGTTTCCTCAAGCCCTTGAACTATTATAGGTTTGTATGGATGCAATTTTTGCTTCTTATTTATAAGATAAATTGAGAATCTCCAATACTTTTTTAATTGAAACTTAAATGTTATAATTAACTAATATCGTTTGGTTTCTTAAATAGACTACTATTTTTCTAAATTGGGTTTTAAAGGCTGCCGCCGTTCCGGGTACATTTACAAGTACCTTGCTGAGGTAATGTCGGCGTTTCTGTGTGACTGCAAGTACAGCGCTAACATGTCAACCTCTTCTTCATTTGAGTACGGAATACCGTCCAGTTTCATCAGATTTTTTTATGATTTTAATGAGGAAAAACGTACCTACTACTTATTAAAACACAATTTTAGTACTTTGAATTATTTAACGTTTGGATGATAAAAACGCGTTACTTATTAATTTTATTTTCTGACGAATAAATCATGGCCTTCTTGGAAAAAATTAATACATAACGTGCAATGATATTTGTGAGGTATTGCTGGAAATTTTACGCTCTTTTCAAAAATCGAAAAATCGAATATGGCTGCCATAAGAAAAATGAAAGTTGAGGGAAAACAAAAGACGATTGAGACATGTCATGCACGCTATCTTATTTGCCGTAAAAAATCTGTGAATAATGTCACATTTTGACAGCTGTCAAATTAACCGTTTCGGATTTACTGGAAAAAACAACATTCAACAGTTTCTGTTTTTCGCCGATATTTCCAAAACCAACTTACCGATCGTGAATCTGAAGCCGGCTGTCGAATGCACTAAGTTTCCTCTAAAACTTTCTCCGTTTAACATTTACTGTACGTATAAGAGGAGCTGAGATCCCTGTATAGAGAAGCGAATCTGGGACACACTGTATAGTGAATTGAAAAAAACCTATGACAAGTTCCCAAGGATGACGCTACGGAATCTCATTTTATCTCGGATTTCTTTTTGTCCGCGAAAATATAGCATAAGGTTGGCTATATTCAGGTAGAATACGTCAAGCAATGGTGTAACCTTTACTCAACAAGTAATATAAGTTCAACTAGATTACATCACGCTCGAGATGTTCCAACGAGAAACTCATATGATTTTACTTGCTCCGCGCTGCTTCTGTCAAAATGGATTTCGCGCTTTCTGACTGAATACAACTTCTAAGAACCTTATCCTCAAAGGACGTGGCGTAACGATATTACCTTCCCTATAAAACATTATCCTTGAGCAACCAGAACACCTGTATAATGCCACCAACTTACCATTCAAGTTGTATACGGCGTGTAGTAGGTATAACTATTGCAACTCAGTAGAGTGCAAAATTAAACAGCTAACAAATATGCTCCAAACGTGAAAAGTTATCGTTGGTACATACATACATTATTTTTATTTTTGTTATACCAAGACACTTTGTTAATCCGATTTTTGAACCGTCTAAGATTGGTAGAACTGGGAAAAGCCTCTTGTTGTGAATTGTTCCGCAATCTCGACACCCTAGCGACAACGGAGCGGTCGTATCGGCCAGTTCTGGATGTATAAAGCTGACATGTTTAAGATGGGAGGCCGAAGTTAAGCGGGTCTGTCTGGCAGGCACAACGGGCGGCGAGAGCTCTGAGGCGCAAAGCCCGTTGATGTAGCAGTAGAAGAGAGCTAGATCGCCGACTGCCCGCCGGTGCGAAAGGGTCCCGAGACTGCATGTTAGAAAAGAGTCATCGACCAGTCGGACAGCCCTTCTCTGGACAGCATCCAGCATGAATAGTGTAGTCGGGGCGGCAGCACCCCAAACATGCGAACAATACTCGAGGCTAGGTCTTATCTGGGCCGTGTATAGGGTGAGGAGGTCATGTGGAGGAAAGTACTTCTTGACTGACGACGCCGATTGGTCCACTACGCAATTTGACGTTAGAAGAAAATTGAATTGCCAGCAAACATTTTTCTTCTTACCAACCTAAATCGTGTTATATTTGGATTAGGGTTCTAAAAGTTGAATAACAATGAGATGATGTAGAGTATAGAGGTTTCGAGAGTAACTTCATAAAGTTATAAATCACAGCTGTTGGTGGTGATCTCCGCCGCACTTTATATTTGTATAATTCTATGAAACAAGAGGTTATTCAGAAAACATGTTAGTTGATACTTAGTTTTAACTTATAAATATTAGAAAAACTTTCAATATCAGATGCAGCCGTCCCCAGTGAACGATTAAGTCGAAAGGCACGACGCGTGCCATTACCCAATCTGTTGTAGATAAGCCGAGCTGTTTGTTTATAAATCGAATTTGAAAGAAACGGAATAGGTTCACTCCTATAGCAATAGCGAACATGATGATACAAATTTGTATGTTTGCGTATGTATTTGTATCAATTTTTGGGATGTTAACTGACATGAAGGTGCTTGAAATGTTTTATTGAATGGACAGTGCCTACTTTCTTTAATATTTTTCCTCTATTTCCGACGCCACTGAGCAGGAAGTAATGTAGTAACACCGAATGAAAAGCTAGTGCATGAGGGGGCAGGGGATTTCAAAAATGAGTAGCTCAGGTGCATGACACTCTAGAGCACTGAAACGGTATTGACAGGTGGTGGGTAGCTCCGAGTTACTCTGAGTAACACTTTGGGAAACGAATTTATGTTCAACTAATAGTTAACTTACAGCCTGTAGCAATCAAATGTGATAGTTAGCCTGCTATGAAAAATCGGGCCTAAGATGCATAATGTTTACCTTGCAGCGGTATGCAGAGCCGTATCCCCGTAGTTGTTCTGCACGTCAGGATCACAGTTGGCCAATAGTAGTTCCCTGCAACACTGGTTATGTCCATTCTGACAACAGAGGTGCAGGGCCGTAAAGCCCCCAGCATTGGCTTTGGTCAGGTTAGCCCCAGCAGCGGCCAGTAGCCTCACCGTTCGACTGTAGCCTTTCCAAGCAGCCTCGTGAAGTGCAGTATTGTTGTGCTGGAACAAAACAGTTCGCATAGAACCACAGAAATACATAAAAGTGGGATAACCCCCTTTTCAAGGTTTGCGAAATCATCAGAATTTGGTTTTTGTTGTTGCTTAAATACTGGATTTCTCTTGATATGAATCAAATATATGAATGACTTTCCAATAACAGTGAAAGACTAGTTTAGGAAGTTTAGGAAGTTTAGGAAGTGAACTTTTAAAATTTAAACTGAAGGTTAAGAGTACGTTTGCCAATTTTCTACATTTGAAACTTCACTTAGGAGCTTTTGGATCATATGTTATTTTGTACATATAGCCGCAAAGTAATCTTGTCAGTACTAATCCAAAAACCAGCTAACCCGGCTTTTCAATAAGTTTTAAGGTTTACAGTCGGAGGATTACGTAACGCTCAATAATGTGCAGGAACCGCTCTGTAAATGAAATAGACAAAAGGTCGAACTTTTTTCCAATAACAGTGAAAAACTATTTAGGAAGTTTAGGAAGTGAACTTTTAAAATTTAAACTGAAGGTTAAGAGTACGTTTCACAATTTTTTACATTTGAAACTTCACTTAGGAGCTTTTGGGGCATATGTTATTTTGTGCATATAGCCCCAAAGTAATCTTGTCGGTAACCAAAAATCCAGCAAACCCGACTTTTCGATAAGTTCTAAGCTTTACAATGGGAGGATTACATAACGCTCAATAATGTGCAGCAACTGCTCTGTAAATGAAATAGACAAAAGGTCGAACTTTCGGTCCCTTTGTTTCTGGCAGTTAAGTTGCGATTTGAGACTTAAATAGCCGAATAGTTTTTATCACTACAACTCCACCGGAACAAAATGATTCACCATCAAGTTAGTACCATTCTTTGTGTTTTTTTTTTCAAAAATCATGAACGCCTTCTATAGGGTGAATACTACATTCCATTCTATTGGAGCTGAGGTTTCATCGACATCGTGAGAGTGCTCCGTTTTGGCTGACTTTGACACGGGAGTCCTTCACCACAAGTTCAATTTATATGCCTGTGGGAAACAACTGGAACGTTTTCTTCAATTTTTATGAAACGTGATCACATAGAAAATACATCTACAGACAGGAACAGAGTTAAATCTGTTTATGGATACAATGCCAGCAATATCAAAAAATAGTTCTGAACGAGTCATTTTTTCCAATAGTGTTCGATTATCTTGACTCTACTTTCCACAATTACATAATATAAAAAGTATGTCCTGACAAATTACTCCACAAATGTATCTCATTCACAGAATGTTAGTTTTACCACCCACACGCTTCAATTTAAAATACCTCAGTGTGACGGGAACAATAAGTGTGACCATTGCCAAGCTCAGATGTCGTTAATAGATCTAATTTAGTGTTTCATGGTATCCTTTGTTGTCTGTTTGTTGATTACAAAAGACAATTGCATGGAGTACTGCCAACGCCACTTATTATGTTTATGAGAACAGAATGCAATAGAGTTAGGTATTTTGGCGAGGTGGAGGAAAAATGTTGTGTTGACGCCTATTTCACGACATACGCATGGTAATATTCAAGAAATAAAAATATGTTTGTCATTTAGTTATACTTGATATGTTTTAGGAAGAGCTGGTTATAGAACCCGAGACTTTACTTTCCACAACTGGGCGACGAAACAATGCGTTTTACTTAATGCAATGTTGACGTTTGCCGAGCAGCGAGTAAGACTTTGCTGCTCTAGAAAGATGTAGTTCAAGAACATTTAACCTGACAGAGAAAGGAGAAACAAGCATAAATTGACGCAAAATATCGTCGGCTTAAAATTATTATTTCTATTCACTTATAAATAACAAAATATTTCGGATGATTTTGATAGAGTCTATTATTATACTGGTGCCATATTATTATTTATCTGCCAAACGTTAAAGTATTTATATTTACGTTAAGAGGCTGTTTATGGCCCGCGGCATGAAAATGTAACCGTGGGCATAAAGGACCACAGGTCTTATTTAATACGTCAAAGGACATACAAAGTATGTCCAAAATACATACAAAATTTTAGCTAGATCCTAAAATCGAAAATTCCAAGTAGTTTTTAATTAGAATTAAAATTAAAAACAAACTAGTAACGGATAAGTGACAGTTAAAGAGATCCGGTACTTTAATGCTGCATAGCAGTAGATGTAGAATAAATTTGACAGTTCACAATGTTTAATCAACAAGCTATCAAACCTGGCAATCAAGTGAACACTTCAGTCAAACTGACGGTGTCTGAGAGTCCTCCATAATTTATACATATTGACATAGCGCTTGAAAAACCTATTCATAAGGTATACTTATCTGCCTCATTGTAGATATACGTTATAATTAATGGAGATGTTTGGCAAGGTACTGATTTGCGTTTTGAGTGACAGTGATTTATTATACTGACAGATGCTATCATGGTCCGATGAATCAAATATTTTAGTTAGAAACTACTAAACAAAAATGCATTTGCTCACGTGTGTTTTAGATTTCCTGTTAAATTTGGTTTTTATGTATTATTTTCTGAAAAATTCAAGGACAAACTCGGCACGTAAAATATGAAGAAATAAATATAGGTCCGAAAATTGACTGTGATCTAAGTCGTCGCCTTTTTGGAGGCCTTAAAATTTTACATTACTCTACAAAATCCACTTATCCAGAGACATCGCAAGCTCAACGAGTTACTACTGGGTCATTCAATTATTACGGATTCTCTCAGATGCCTAACTGTTTGCAAGAATAATTCATCGTCTATGTGAGAAATGATTTCAAGCTTGATGTCAGGGTATTTGTACCAGATGTTTCTGAAAAAGACATGCATTCCAAAGTTTATCCTATTATGAGTAAGATGAATCTTGAACACAGACCTACGCCAGTATATACTCTGGTACCAAAACGGAAGAGATAACTGACAACGGGGCGTGATTTTAGATCCGTCCGCTCCCCTTGGTAGCGGTGAATGATACGATGTGCTACTCTCTTCCGTTTTTGTACCAGACTATAGTATCAGGCCGATTGTAAAACATTACTTTCATGTCGTTGGTAAAAAGTAAGGGTGCGCATTTTGAACTTCTCATACTGTTTAACTCTAGGTTCAAGACCAAGATCACTATCAATTAGTTTCTTTGTCACACTATTACATCTTGACCTTTTCTATATTCCACTAATAACTAACGAGGGCATTGTGGAATTTTGGTTATGCTACGTAACGAAAATGTGCGTTGCTTATTTGAGTCAAGCTTTCTGTCTCTGTGTCAGATGTTCTTGTTACTTCAGATAAACCTTTGTACCAATTTCGAGTGGTTATTATCGTGGAGCCTATATACCAGGAGAACCTATGGAAATGCTGTTCATGCTGTCAAAACGACTTTGAAACTTGACACCTGGAATGCCAGTGATGCTTTCTCAGCGTTGCGATGTTGAGAGATTTTCCCCAAAATTTTGGGAATTTTTTGGAGATATAATGTTCTGGATTCAAGTTTTGCGGATAGGAAGCATCTCCTCGCTCTTTGAACCAAACCTAGCTCTTTTTGTTAATTAACTGTGATTTGGGTTTTTTTTTTCTGAAAAGGTGGTATTTCTGAGGGAGATGTGTGCTTGTTCTGGAGAATCTCTGTCCGATTCATCCGGTAACTCTGTGCTTTGACAGATCCGCCACTTTCCTTAGTCTAAAATCCGCACGGGTATTATGTAAAAAACCTATAAAATGTCATCTCGCAGGCTAGGTAGTTTTGAGGATGCAAACAGTCATTCCACGTTTGCTCACTAAGATCGTTGTGAGCATCAATCTATAGAGGTATGGCTCAACTACACCACTACACGCATTGTTGGTTGCATAATCAGGTGCAAGTTTTGGGGTCATTTTTTCTCATTTCGTCGGTACTCCTGGTATGTCAGTTCCATAGGTTATCGTAAACAATGGATAGGTATCCACTGAGCGGTACATTGACACCGATCTATGCTAAGGGAAGGCGCAAAACTACTTCATTTGCGCTGTATGCTTTCAAGAGCTTAGAGCAGCACTAGTGATCATAGTATAAACATAGTTGTTGGTGTCGCGTTGAAGGTTAAATGGACTAGTTCTGTGACATCACTTGGAACAGTGAAGTCTTAACATGTGGAACAGCGATTAATTAGCGTACAGACTTAAGACATACCACTCTAAACTTCTCTTTAATAGCCCATTTCAGTTTGTTTGCTATTGACATCACCAACGATTCGCAGAGTTTTTTTTCTCAACTTGAAGTTGAGCAAGCATCGAATACCATGAAGAGCTCAACACCAAGTATCTTAGTTGTTTGAGTATGTTGTAGCACTGTGCCATGAATAGTTAACTGGAAAGAGTCTTCAACGTTTCTTCTTTTATGGTCAGAGCAAAACCTTATGTAAATCTATTTGCACAGTGGGTGATGCATATTGTTTTGAAATGATAAATTGTGTGCATGATCTCGGCGAAACTTTGTATTTCTGAATTTCCTACAGCTTTATGTATGTTGCTGATCAATCTTATTTGTGTTGGGGACATGCACAAACTAACTTTCAGGTTTTATAAAATAACGAAGGTCGAAGCCAGAAAAATACCTACCACGCTATCGCACCCGTCGACGTCCGCTCCCCTGGCCAACAAAAGTCGCACGACCTCCTCGTGTCCGTCCGCTGCGGCGGTCTGCAACGGAGCGCAGCCGTCTCCGTCTGGCGCGTCTGCTTCTCCGGGCGCCGCCACTGCCAGCAGGAGTCGCACCACGGTGGCGCGACCCGCGGCCGCCGCCAAGTGAAGGGCAGAGCGACCGCGTTGGTCGCGCGAAAACCGCACGCATTGCGCGCCGGCGAGTAGCCTGCGACATGTTGCGGCATCGCCAGCGAACGCAGCGTGACGCAGCTGCTGCTGCGCGGCTGTCGAGGCCGCCGTCGCAGAGACGCCGCCGCTGGGACGGCCACAGCTCATCCCCAGCCATCAGACATGCCACCTGCAACAACAGAAAATTCTAGTTTAATTCACATATTAGATTTTCTGGAGCTAATTGCAAATTTATAAAGGCGCACATGTTTATCCCATTATACGTCATCTGAAAGAAGACTTAAAGATCTCAGTTACTATCAACATAAAGAATTTTAGGCAGTGCTCCCTACGATTCTGTACAAACCCTGAGCAGTGTTTGGTCCAGCCTATAATTGACTCGAACCTTAGTAGGAGTCTCCTAGTAAAATACCGTTGATTAACGTTAGTCCCCCATGTGTGTCTGGTCAATAAAACTAGATGTATTTAAAATTCTTTTTTAATATACATAGTAAACGAGTTAATCACAAAGGAATGACATATCTTTGATTTATCTGTCTTCCAGATGACATTTTGTTTGTTTTCTTTTCATTATCACTGTTTTGTACAGTGTACTACTACAACTGTCTGAAAGTCCCAGAACATGCTGAGATTGTGCGAAGTCATCAAAGATGGGAAGACCTCCTGGTGGAGGCATGACCAAAAAGATGAACGTTCAGCCCTCCAAAACGACAAGTCAGTATGTGGCTATCTATCGTTCTTTAATATGCCATCCCCGTCCGTCGTCCCGAAAACACCAAAAACACTCAGACTATTGTAGCAACACACTGTATAGGAACCTGATAATGAAAAGAGAAAACAGACGAGCTGTCACCTGGAAGAGAAGGAAACCAAATATAGTATGTAATTGAACTGAAGATGATTCCCTTTGTAATTGAAACGTATACTATATTGAAGGAGAAGTTTAAATACATGTTTCATTGGCTAAACAAAGGTCTATCGTCATGAAAATCATGAGACAAATCTCATAAAGAGAAAGATGGACCACCGTATACTGTATTCCTGTACCCAAAAAGGAATATAATGTATATATATATAACTTGAGACGTGGTCATTGTCGTCTAGACCAGTTAGGTGAAAAATTAAAGCTTCCGCCTTTTGTTGGGTACTTCGACAAAATTTAAGCAAAGAGGACTCTTTATACTTTTTTTAATTCTCTCTAGCTTTCAATGGACTTTGCCATCATCATCAGGAGCTGCAATTACAATGATAACAGTAGCAACAAAGGTGTAAAATGAATTTAAATTGACTCAACTTACAGTAGTATGTGAGGATGTTGCTAATTGTTGTTTACGTATAGGATGAGGGAAACGTCCAGTAACATGGTGAGAGCTGGATAGATTGTACAGTAGTCAAACTTATATAAAATATGACAAGAACAAGTTAAAAACAGATTAAAAATTATTTAAAAAATTAAAGCATTACATCGTGAAGCCACTTGATGATTGCACAAATTAGTGGTCATGGAATGATGAGTGACATGAAACCCTTTGACAGAAGGCCGAAGGATGTCAATGTCAGTATTGAAAGATGGAACGAATTGTGGGCGTGTGCCAAAACGTTGCCAAATCACTTCAGATGATGAGATTTTCAGAATTTTATGTTAGAATTTGTTAAACCGACCAGAGGCAGTTGAATAAACTATATTATTATTAATGGGAATTTAAATTAACAATTATTAATAAATCGTGAGGAGAGAATTATTATATTTTGAGTGGAATGAAATTTACTGGTGGAATCGGCCAAAACACAGATTCTAATTATGGTTGTGAAGAGTTGAAATTTGGGGAGATATGTAAGTTCTCCAATTTTTCGCAGTTTAGCAAATATGAGTAAATGACACTCAGTTGATTAACATCTGTCTTTTTGTTGATACAGTTGTTATTCATGAAAAACGTTTATTCCTGGAAATGTCCCACATTTTCATGAATAACAACTGTATCAACAAAAAGACAGATGTTAAACAACTGAGTGTCATTTATTCATATTTGCTAAACTGCGAAAAATTGGAGAACTTACATATCTCCCCAAATTTCAACTCTTCACAACCATAATTAGAATCTGTGTTTTGGCCGATTCCACCAGTAAATTTCATTCCACTCAAAATATAATAATTCTCTCCTCACGATTTATTAATAATTGTTAATTTAAATTCCCATTAATAATAATATAGTTTATTCAACTGCCTCTGGTCGGTTTAACAAATTCTAACATAAAATTCTGAAAATCTCATCATCTGAAGTGATTTGGCAACGTTTTGGCACACGCCCACAATTCGTTCCATATTTCAATACTGACATTGACATCCTTCGGCCTTCTGTCAAAGGGTTTCATGTCACTCATCATTCCATGACCACTAATTTGTGCAATCATCAAGTGGCTTCACGATGTAATGCTTTAATTTTTTAAATAATTTTTAATCTGTTTTTAACTTGTTCTTGTCATATTTTATATAAGTTTGACTACTGTACAATCTATCCAGCTCTCACCATGTTACTGGACGTTTCCCTCATCCTATACGTAAACAACAATTAGCAACATCCTCACATACTACTGTAAGTTGAGTCAATTTAAATTCATTTTACACCTTTGTTGCTACTGTTATCATTGTAATTGCAGCTCCTGATGATGATGGCAAAGTCCATTGAAAGCTAGAGAGAATTAAAAAAAGTATAAAGAGTCCTCTTTGCCTAAATTTTGTCGTAGTACCCAACAAAAGGCGGAAGCTTTAATTTTTCACCTATATATATATATATATATTGCCCAACATTTAGGGAAATCATTTACAGGGCAATCCTAGGAAAAGATAAATCAAACTAACAAAAATATAAAACATACAAAAAACAGGTGATTCCGTGTAAAGTAAAAAGCAAACAAGAAAAAGAGGAAGACTATTGTGAGTAGGGCTTAATAAATTATACGGGATAGTAAAATAGTTGAAGGATTGAAGTGTATTCAAAGCATGAACTTTAACGATTGATTGTGAAAACCTTGTAGTGTTAAGAATTCTTGAATGCAAAAGATGATGATTGCAATAGAGGCAGATGGCTCTCTGAATCAGACGTTCACACTGAATGAAACACCTGCAATATCCTCAGCAGTCAAACAAGTTTGCAAGCACACAAGACTGCGGCTCGCACTGTGAATACGGCTATATCGTGTGATATTCCGGTCCAACTAAAATTACAGGTTTTCGGCATAACCAATTGCGACATTCTTTAGATCAATTTGAAATTTTCCAATACTAACAAGGACCATCAAGGCTCCCCTCCAACTGACACACTTCCTCCCCTTTGATCTCCCGTTTCCTTCCTTTTACTTCCTACGCCACACTGGCAAGGAAGTACTTTAATCGGGAAAAAGTTCGATGAGGTATTGTTCTTTGGACGTTATATGATACGTACACACATCACGAAAAAACAGGTCACTTAATTCAGTCCGTCTGTAGATCTGTCTGTCTGTCCGCTCTTTGGAGCGCGTATAACTTGGAAAGTACAGTTCGAATTTGAATAAAGTGTTTCCGCAAGGTTGCTACTATACCAAGGACAAAAAAGCGTTTTAATCTTTGAAGATGGTGTATCGCAATTATTTGATGTTTGTCTATCAATACACTTTCAAAACTAATAACTACACACATATTAGACATATGTCACACTCCACACATTTCATTTGACTTTGAAATCTAGGAAAAAATTTCAGCAGACGGATCTCCTATCGGTCGCATAAACCGTGCGCCACAGAGTTATTTATAAGTATTGCACATTGCCATTGCATCTTTGGTACTCGATCCGAGTAGGCAAACAGTGCGGCAACATACTAGAGTGTAATCAATGATGTTATTTGAATTGGTGACGTAATATTATATAAGTACTTATCAAGTGCTACTTGAATCAGTTACCAAACATTGTTGACATGCAGTTTTACACCAGAAGTCTAAAGATATGACGGATAACCTCAGTGTTGCAATCTGAAGCAAGATGCGTTGGAGTATCGTGGTAAATAGTTTAAACAATTTCAAAGTACATAGTCATTGCTACCATATCAGATTTACCGCATGATGTAGCATCAAAACCAAACTTCTAATTTTATTCCACACCGTAATTCACGAAATCTCTGGAGGTTATTACCAACTTGCTCCGCTTGATTACGCAGCAAAGCAAAAGTACCTAACAGGTTTTGCAACCAAAGACAAATAGGAGTGCAGTTTGCAACTAATCTTTATCTAATTAGTTGCAGGTAATTGGTAGCAAATACGCAGCAAAACTACAGCCAGTGTATCCGAACATGATGACGTCGCAAAAATGAAAAACCATTACTACACGATATTAAGTTGAAGCAGAAGCAAAATTTTGTATAATCAAGCTTTTCAATTACGTCTACACTTTCATTACTCTTACGGTTATAATTATTATGCAGACGCAGAAAGCGATCGTCGTACGTATTGCTCCATGTCTTTCATTAACCTTCTTAAATCGTTCGCCTTGTTTCTCCTATCATTACCATTACGATCGCAATTTCCTCTGCAATGCTCATCTTGTCTCACTTATGCATTATCACGTCAGAATCGTGCTTGTTTATTAAGTTTCTCATATAGACGTGAGGTTGATGGTGTACAGACGCTACCATGGGAGTGCATATACTGGGTGGTTCAGATTCGACCCTCGCCATCGGGATCTTGGTAAGAGATATAAAATTAGGAAGACAAAAAATGGCAAATTTTCACAAAATCTTTTTTATTTCTTCCCGAGTCTATTTAAGTAGGAATTTTCAAAACAACTTCAATCTGTCGTTTCGTTTAAGTCCTACATCATTAGCTGTTTTTCATGGAAAACTAGACTGTTGCTTAAAAAATAGGATCAAGGAAGGTTACTCTGTACTTCCTGTGGATGACCATATTGACATTTACAGCATACAGCCCGCAGCAGCGCGGAAGCGACTGCCGACTGCCACGTACGACCATCAGATGGACCACGTGGCCTAACAATTTTTCGGAAAATGATCAGCAACCTCTGAAACGTCAAAAGCCGGAGTTTGAGCGAGTTCTATTTCTTTCATTTTTTGGCCTTTTTCTTCGCCGTCAATAGACCGATTTTCAAAATACTTTGTGTCCTTGGTATTGTATTAGGGAGTAA